AACCATAATCAGTCTTCGAGAATTAGACTGTAGATGGTTTATTCCCTAACTTTGTCTTGAAAGAGGGGCCATAATCAACCAAGTAAAGGCACCTGGTTGTAGATGGTTTATTTCCCTCTTTTTCCTTTCTCAAAAGTAATAACAAAAGGGAGAGAAAGAAGGATACATAGCAGAAGACATAAATAAGAAGTATTCACAGAGAGGACTTTCCTTTACTCTACCTGTATTAGTGATATTTTTCCTTCCTTGCCTTCCCTTGAGCACTTCTCTTTTCTTCTCTCCTTGTCTTTGTTTTTCTTAAGAATCTCTTGTGAAAATTTTCTCCGAAGAGTCTCTCTGTGTGTATGTGTTTCTATTCCCCTTAAGGAGCTTAAATGGGGAGTGGGGTGGTTATGTAACTACCCCCTCCTCCTAGGTGAAGGACACCTGTCCCTCCCACTTAAAGAGAGGGAACTCCCCACTTAAAGAGAGAGAACTCCCCACTTAGGAGGGGGAACTCCCATACGGGATACTTTTTTTATAATTTTAATGATTTGGCTAGTAGACTAACTAACCCACTTATGACAAATTATTTGAATAAAAAAAATAACTTCAACAATCATAAACTCTCAGCTAATGATGGAGAACTTTTAGCTAACAGGGGAGTGTTTCAGAGATTACTGGGAAACTTCTTTATCTATGTATGACTAGTCCAGACATTTCATATGCTGGGAGTGTCATCAGCCAGTTCATGCATGCTCCCAAATACACACATATGGCTACTGTAGAAAGGGTGTTACCTTAAGGGAACCCCCAGGAAGGGTATATTGTTTGCTAAACATGGACACATGAAGGTAGAAGCATATACAGATTTTGATTGGGCAGGAAATGTGGATGATAGGAGATCCACAACAGGATATTGTGTTATGGTAGACAGAAATATTGTTTCCTGGAGAAGCAAAAAGCAATTAATGGTTACTAGATCTTCAGCTAAGGCAAAGTATAGAGCTATGGCCCATGGTGTTTCTGAGTTGTTATAGCTTAGATCTCTCCTTAATGAGATGGGTGTTTCATGTGACGAGCCATTGATGTTGTATTGTGATAACCAAGCTGCTATTAGCATTGCTCACAACCCAGTTCAGCATGATAGAACTAAGGCACTAAGCACATTGAAGTAGACAGACACCTTATACAGGAGAGAGTGGCTTCAAGAGAAGTGTGCCTACCTTTCATTGCATCAGAAGAGCAACTACCAGATTTTCTAACTAGGAAGTCCAAAGGAAAAGCTTCAACATTATGTAAGCAAGCTGGGCATGATTTACATCTATGTTCAGCTTGAGGGGGAGTATAGTGAGAATGGGCCGAATGGTTACGTTTCTTAGTCATGGCCCTTATGGGCCTTCTTCTATTTTCTTTAATTATTTCTTTAGTGCTGGCTGCCCCATTAAGGGCCTTAATTATCTCTTTTATTTTTTTTAATTATGGGCCTTATGGGCCTCTCTTTTCTTCTTTTCTTGCATTATTTGAATTACTATAGGTGTAATTTTTTTTTTAGTGCCTAAAAGTGAATCATTAGATCATGAAGCAACTGAAAAGTAAGTACAGAGCGATTTGAGAGCTTCGGGAAAAGCTCCAGAAACCTTTCTTTAAAAGAAAAATAAGTGAAAAAAGAAAAGAAAAGATCTCTCTTTTTTTTCTTCGTTGATGATAGAGTAGCAGAAAATGAAGATCGCAATCCTACAGAGGTCCCTACACAAACTAGCCCCCCTTCTTCCATCCACAAGCTACTATCCCCTTTGCCTACTCGTTGTCATCTTCCTCTCCACTCTCATCTTCGTCCTCGTCGTCGTTCACTTCAAACTTCGGCTTGTCCGACTCCTCTTCTTCTTCTTCAGCTGCATTTGCTCCTTCGGCCTTCTTCTTGTTGTATGCCTGCAAGCTCTTATTGTACTCGCTCTTCCTCTTCTCTGCTTTGGCTACATATGGTGCCTTCTCGGCTTCTGTCAACGATTTCCATTTGTCTCCACCGGCTTTGCTGACAACGGAGACTGATTTGTTGTTAGGGTGTTTCTCCTTGTACTGCTTCCTGAACTCTTCCATAAAAACGAAAAAGGCACTTGCAGGCCTTTTAGGTTTGTTAGGATCCTTAGTTGCCTTCTCCTTCTTCCCTGCTTTCTTGCTAACTTTATCGGCTCCGACGCCTTTCTTCTTTACAGAAAGCTTGTTGTCTGCCTTTTTAGTTTCCGCCTTCGATTCACCTCCTTTCATGGCGAATCCTCCTTAGGGTTAGGGTTTCACAAGGAGTGATTCAGAGATAGGGGATTATCGTTTGATGTGTTATGTTGCATGTGTGTGTGTATGAGAAGGGGAGAGTCACTATAGGTGTAATTTTCAACTACTACAAATAATGTTATACTTGAATGTGGTGGACAGATGGGTAGTTATTTAATTTTTAAAGTAAATGATCAATGTTCAAACTTCAAACCTCGTAACTCACATTTTCTTTGAAATACATATGCATTAATGCAATATGCACATTAAAGAAATGAACACAAATAATAAAGTGGATTAATGGTAACAAGACAATATACATGGAAAAAGGTTATCGATTCAAATTTTGCCATTTGCGTTTTGAAAATTCCACACATTTGAGCCCGGGTGGTTCTAGGAAATCGGGACTGGTTCACCAATTTTTTAGTTAAACTGCCTAGTGAGCTAGTTTTGGGTGGTTTTCTACCTATTCTGGTTTCAAGGGCATGACCAAACTGGATCTAGACCTAGTCACAATTCAACCAATTTGATCGGTGGTTCAATCCAATTTCCTACACCCTAGTTAAGCCCAATGTAATACTACAATATAGAACCTTGTCCATCTTTCCATTACTTCTAAAGACCATAACAAAATCCGGTTTTCTTATAGAAAATACTTGACACCCACTTTGGGGATCCTTGAAAAAGCAAACAGCCTTGTCCTTGATAGATAAGCCAAAGCCCCCTAACCCAACAAACAACCCATTGTGCAAATGAGCTTCATACAGGCTCTTTGCATTATATCCAATTTAAGTTCCCCCAACTACACCAAAAAGTTGGGAAGAAGAACCTTTATCAAAGCATAGTATAGTACATTTCCCCATAAAATTCAAACCTTGTTAATGCTAATATGAAATCCAAGAATCAAACAAACCTTACTCAAAAGGCTTCCTGATAGTTCAAATCGATTCTTCCATGTGATTGATGGCACAGGAACAACAGAAAAGCCTGAGGCAACTAAGACCCCAATCCATAACCCATATCCAAATCCACTACTCCACCACCCCTTCATTGAAAAAAAAAATAAGTCATCAATAAAGACTATGACCAAAGAACATAATCACAACAACTATCTTTGTAGATCAGTAGATGAAAATTAAACCATTATTTTAATAAAAGTAACATCTAGTATTTATCAAAAAAAAAAAAAAGAAGTCACATCTAGATAACATTGCTCTTAGAATAAAATAGTGACAAAAAAATAGTAGATTAGAATATGGTGGTAAGCAATTTAATTTCTAAGAGCAATTAAAGTATATTAGAATATGGTAGCAAACAATAAAAGTAACCTTGAATGGAAGACTCACAAAGATTTGTTAGAACAAAGATTTGGTATGGAGGAAACTAAAAAGGCTGTCTTCTCTATGGATAGATCAAAATCTCCTGGTCCTAATGGAGTAATGGGTACACCATGGCTTTCTAACAAGATTGTTGGGATGCTTTAGCATTTGATTTATTGGAGGTATTTAATGAATTCTTTGAAAGAAGGAAAATAAATCCAGAACTGAATGCTACATTTTTGCCTTGATACCTAAGAAAAAACAAGCGTCAATCATCCCAAAGACTTCAAACCCATTAGCTTAATCAATAGCTTATATAAAACCATTGCTAAGGTCTTGTCTTTAAGATTAAAAAAGGTGATGCCCTCCATTACCACATCTAATCAGGGAGCTTTCATACAAAATAGGCAAACAACAATAGATCAAATTCCCATTTCTAATGAGTGTATGGAAGGGTTATGTGCTTGACCAATATGCCAAAAGCCTTAAGACTGTTGGAGCGTATCAAGCCATGCAGTTTAACATTTAGGACCACAATATGCCACCACGCTTCCATAGCCAAAGTCTTGATGGCTTCACTCTAGGCAGTTCTCACTCTAGCGACAACCAACAAGTAGCACTCTCCACAATGGCTCTCACTGGTGGTAAGTAGCCCTCTTCATGACAGCTCACACTCAGCGGATAGCCCTTTCCCTTTGGTGGCTTTTACTCTACTCCAAGAAGCCCTTTCCAGTGACAGCTTTCACTTTGCTCCAGGTATCCCTTTTCACGACAGCTTTCACTTTGCTCTAGGTAGCCCTTCTCCCAATTAGAGCACTCTCTGTGATTCAAACTCGAGTCATGGTGTTGTTACATGCTTGACCAATACACCAAAAGCCTTGAGACTGTTGGAACGTATCAAGCCAAGCACTTTAACATTTAAAACCATAAATGGAAAAGATGAGAAGGTAAGGAAGAAAAGGACTAATCTATAAATTAGACATTGAAAAAGCTTATGATTTTGGTACTGATCAAAAAAAAGCTTATGATTTGGTAGACTGGTCATTCTTGGTAGAAGTTATGAGAAATTGTGGCTTTATAGAGATATGGTGTAAATGGATTTTGGGATGTCTTCAAAATTGTCACTACTCAGTGTTGGTGAACCGAAAGTGGTAGACTTCTTCTAAGCTTGTAGAGGACTTAGAGCTGTAAATCAGGTTGTTCCGGGCCGGCACAGCCCAATTTACACCTCTAAGAGGACTCAGGCAAGGGGACCCCCTCACCCCATTCCTGATTACTTTCATAGTTGTACTCAATAGACTAATCACAGGGGCAGATAGCATGCAACTCATTAAGGGATAAAGAGTAGAAAAGGATAGGGTGGTAGTGACTTACCTGCAATTTGCAAATGACATCATTCTCTGTTGTGATGGGAGTGAGTTTTAGTGGGTTAAAAATATGAAACTAACTATTTAACTCTTTGAGAAAACTTCAAATTTAGGGTTAACTTTGACAAAAGCTATTAAGCAAGGGTGAATGTGGAGGATAGGGAATTGTCTAGCTATGCAAGAATATCCATTACCTCTTGGCCCATAAAATACTTGGGACTTACATTAAGAGACAAGCCAACCCTAAAGAACGCAACTTTTTTTTCAAGAAGGTGAAGTATAGTATTGTATTCATATCAAAAAATTATTTACGGGCCTCTATACAATGAGCTTCTATACATAAATCCACAAGGTATTAAGATGATCCAAAACACTTCATAGCCAAGAAAGATAGGTCAGAAATTTGAAATTACTCTCAAAAAAAAGCTATTACATTTCAAGTTTCAACCAAGCCCTAATGAAATCGAAAGATGAGTTAATAACATACTCAAAAAGATGGTCATTGGATTGAAACACCATAATGTTCCTTTCAAGAGACAGAGCCCAAATAACAGCCAAAGTGATTTAGTGATCACAGCCCAACAAGTTTTGCCCTTTCTGTTCACCCCACTTGCACTCAAGCCATTGAGCATCTCAAAAACAGATTTCGGATGACACCATTGAAGATGAATACTTCCCAAAAAATGCTGCCACACTCTGTTAGTAAAGGCACAATGAAGAAAAAGGTGACTAGTGCTTTCAGGCCATTGCTCACAGAAAGGGCATAAGGCACTATCCAAGACAGCATCTCTCCAAGATAGGTTCACCTTAGTTGGACATTTATCCAGAGCAGCTAGAAAAAATTGACCTCCAAAGGGGCCATGTTTTTCCAAACTGCCCTATAAGGGAAAGAAGAATTACTTCCACCTAAGGTTCAAAATTTCAATAAATACACCCTGTATCAGGCGTATTGTGTCGTATCAAGGGTTCATCAAAACACTTTGAGCCTTGATTCCACCAACTAGACCATTATAAAATGAATGAAGAAAATGACCCCAAACTGTGCCAACACTAGATTTTGGAATCCGTTCTTAGAAAAATTAACTAAGAAACTAGCTATGTTGAAAAGGAATTACATCCCTTTAGGGGGAAAAATAATACTAACTATAGCTACTTCAGCTAATCTTCTGGTGTACTACTTCTCTATCTTTAAGATCCTACAGAAAGTGGGGAAGATGATTGAGAAGATAATGAAGAAAAAAATAAAAAATGGTCAGCTTCTAAAAACATTAAAATTAAAAAAAAAAAAAAAGATAATGAAGAACTTCTTATGGGAGCCAGGAGGAGGAAATAAGTATCACTTGATCAATTGGGAAGTTGTGTCTAGAAGTAAAAAGCAAGGGCGTTGGGAATTAGCAACATAGAAAAGAGGAACTTGACCCTGTTGGGAAAATGTTTGAGGAGATTACCGATAAATAAGAACAAACTATGGCATAAAGTGATAGTGGGCATTCATGGGATTTTGAACAATAGGTGAGTTGTTGGTCTATTTGCTTAGGTGACTCAGGCCTCTCCTTGGACGGTAATCTATTCCATACTCCAATATTTTCCTCCTTGCATTAGGCATAACGTTTGTTTAGGCTTGTTTTAGGAACATGTATGGATTGGCAATTCTCCATTCAATGATCAATTTCCCAGTCTAAAAGTTTATTGTACCCTCTGCCTCAAGCAAAGGGATTGGGTGAAATTTGGGTTTTAGAAGGGATTAAGGGATACAAAACTTCCCAGTATTGTCAATCTATTGTAAATCCTTGAAGGAATTTATTTGGGCCCCTTAAGTCAATGGTCATATTTGGATTCCCTCCTCTTCAGAATCTTTCTCCTGCACGTCCTTTTTCATAGTCTTATCCCAGCCTTCTTATTCGCTACAGCCTTTCCTCTAAAAGAGGTTTGGTGCAGGCCCATCCCACCAAAAGTTGGACTTTTCCATTGGGAGGTGTTGTATGAGAAAATGAACATTTGTGACTTTCTCAAAAAAAGGAGACCAAATTGTTGCTTAACCCTAGTCCCTATTTCGTGTGTCCTCTGCAAAGTTAATGGTGAGATTTGTTATCCTTACAAATCTTTTGTCCATTTGTTACTGGTATTTGGGAATGGTTTCTCTCGTTGTTTGAGTGCAAATGGATTTCACCAAGTAGCATGGCAAGCTTGTTCTTGCCAACAGATTTTTCGTGGCCAAAGAAAAGAGGAAGGATTATGTGGAGAAGTATAAGGGCCACACAGTCCACACTTTTAAACAATGGGAGGAAACAAATGCTAGAATCTTCACAAGAAAGGAGAGGAACAAGGAGGCAATTATTGAGTACATAACTACTAGTGCAGCTTGTTGGGTAAAGTCTCTTGGTGGTGTTTCATCTTATTTAATTGATGATATTGATATTGTTAGAAATTGGAAGGATATTAGTTTTCCAAAATTTACCATTATTTCAAAAATACTACTTATGGTAACTTTATAGTTATTTCCCATAACTATTATTTATAGTAAAACTATGATTTGATATATTTAGGAAGAACTGTGTTACCAATTTACAACATGAGAACAATCATAGGTATTTGACATATAAAAGTTGGCTACACAAACATTTTCTAGAGATAACCAAATACAAATTAGACATGCATAGATGGAATTATTTCTTCAGGAAAAACACACAACCTACTTATGGTAACTTTATAGTTATTTCCCATAAYTATWATTTATAGTAAAACTATGATTTGATATATTTAGGAAGAACTGTGTTACCAATTTACAACATGAGAACAATCATAGGTATTTGACATATAAAAGTTGGCTACACAAACATTTTCTAGAGATAACCAAATACAAATTAGACATGCATAGATGGAATTATTTCTTCAGGAAAAACACACAACCTACTTATGGTAACTTTATAGTTATTTCCCATAAYTATWATTTATAGTAAAACTATGATTTGATATATTTAGGAAGAACTGTGTTACCAATTTACAACATGAGAACARTCATAGGTATTTGACATATAAAAGTTGGCTACACAAACATTTTCTAGAGATAACCAAATACAAATTAGACATGCATAGATGGAATTATTTCTTCAGGAAAAACACACACAACTGACCTGTTTCCCGTCCCGTGGAAATGGAATTGATTGCTCAATATATGCTGAGGTTCCTAAAACCAGAAAAAGATCCCTTCAGTACATATTGTGGAGTCCTGAATTAAAGAAATAGGCCATAGATTTATTTAAAGTCGGTTCTAAACTCTAGAACTCCAGAACCAAGAGATAAAATTAAGGAATCAATCATTTTCAATTTTTATGATAATTCCAAACTATGATAAAGATTTAGATTTAAATTTAATCCATCACACTTTACAACAAAGCTGCAGACCACAAAAGAGACATGTTTTTCATTGGGACCTCAGTGCCTCAAAAGGACAACTTAACTAACTGGGCTACATTGTGTGAAAGGAAGGATGAAAGGAGCCTAGGGATGGGAAAAGTTTTGCTTAAGAATGTGGCTTTCTTGGGAAAATAGTTGTGAAGGTTTCCTATGGAGTTGGACAGCTTGTGGCATGCTGTGATTAAGAGCACCCATGGCCTCTCAGACAATGGATGGGATGCAAATTTAGCCACTAGAGCTACCCATGCTCCTCTGTCTCTCACTTTTCCTCAAAAACATTTGGGTTCAATTGGGTATTAGAACCAAATTTTGAGCTGATTTGTGGTGGTGGGAGCAGCCATTAAAAGACTTTTTCATAACATTTATCCAATTTCCTCCTCAAACAGCCATTGGTCTTCCATTATGTCTCTTTGACAAATCAAGGGATATGTTGTAACCTTGGTTTCAGAAGGGGGTTAAGTGAGAATGACATTTCTAATGCTTCAGATCTCTTCAATTTGTTGAATACTTGGATGGTCTTTCTTTGGATACCTCCCTTGGTTGTAGAATTTGATTTGCTAGTTCATTTGAACTTTTTTCTTGTTCTTCCTTTTTAAAAGCCCTTTCTTTTAACTCTAGTCCCCCCTGGTTTTCCCAGTTAAGGCTGTTTAGAGTGGACCAAAATTAGGGCATTCTGATGGGAGGTAATACATGTGAAAAAACTCGTGAATATCTTCAAAAGAGAAAGCCTAGATGGTGTCTTTATTCACATATGTATGTTCTTTGCAGAGCAAATTGTGACTTGTGAGACTACCTTCTATTTACAAATCCCCTATTCACTTATATATAGTATTTTAGTTTTTTTCTTTTCACTATTTGAATGTAGGTGGTCTCATCCAGCAGATTTAGTTAGTCTATTCTACACTTCATTTTTCTCTCTACCTAAAAAGAGGGACAAAATCTTCTCTTGATGTACTAGGGCAGCAATCTTATGGACAATTTGGGAAGAATGAAATATTAGGATTTTCAGATATATAAGAGTAAGTCAAAGGAATCATTTGAGGATGGCAGTTGGGAATGATCTATTCTTAATTACCTGTTCATGGGCCGGGCTTAGGGATGGCAATTTCCCCCGTAAAACCGGGGCCTCACCCCGAAAGGGGCAGGTTTTCCCCAACCCTAAACAAGGATGGGGCGGGGACGGGGAAAATAATTTTTCCCCGAACCGGGTACAGGACGGGGACGGGTTTTGTATATAATTCCCCAAACCCACCCCGACCCTGAAGGTAAATTAGTAAAATATCTCTAAGTTTAATATTGATATTTAAAATATCTCTAGTTTTTCCCTAAATTCTTAAAATCCTAGGATCCCATAATTTTATTTTTGAATTACCCCTAAAGTATTATAATTCAATTCTAAAATACCCCCAAATTCCTATATCATATGTATAAATTGTCCATAAAATAGATAATTTTTAAGTAATTGCCTTGGAGAGGGGAACAGTCGAGGATTCCCCGTCCCGGATGGGGAATGGATGCCCCGCCCCGTTGCCATTCCTAGCTAGGCTCAGGCTTGGCTTTTGTCAAAATTCTAATGGGCCCCACCCGAAGCCCGAGCCCAAGACAGTGTAAAGTTGGCCCAAAGTCCGGCCCATGAACAGGTCTAATGCTTATATTTGGTCATTGTCCCACTGATGGCATATCAAGAAATTGGTAAACCATTGCTGGATCCTCTTCACTAATCATACTAATGATGAAGATATGGTCACCTCCTACAAATCACTTCATTAAAATGAACTTGATGGCTGCAGCTTAGAAAACGCTGGAAACTCAGGGATTGGGGAAACTTTTAGGAGCAATACTGGCAATATAGTAGTCCTTTACTTAGGACCCATTGGGCATGGTGATTCTACAACAGCTGAAATGCTGAATTAATGAGTGTCTTCTATGATTTAAGATTGGAGAGATGATGCAAATATTTAAGTAAGGAAATAATTCATTGAGAAACCAATCAGTTTTTCAATTGCTACACCAATTTCAGAGTTTTTGGATGATAAGATATTGGCATTGTTTGAATTTTTTAAGTTAGTTTATATTTGTAGGTTTGTTAAGAAAAGGGTTTTAACTTTTAGTTTTCCAAAATTTACTGTTATTTCAAAAATACTACTTATGGTAACTGTACCATTGTATTCCATAATTATTAGATATAGTAACAGCTGAAAAGGCTGGACTAAATGACTTATTTCTTTATCTGTCAGTAAACAAGTAATTAAGGAGGTTGCGAGCTCCTTCATGACTGAAACTGATGTTCAAATATTTTATTATTTAATTATTTATCCACTAAAAAACAAAAAAATGCATCATCTGTTATGAGCACCCGCACCAAACGGCAGCAGTTGAGGCAGCAGCGCACACACGACTGGCACCGCAAGGCAGCGGCACCATGAGCCGCGCGCACGCACTGCGCAGCAGTGGCACCGCACGCACCGCGCGGCAGCAGCACCGCGCGC